AAAAAAAAAAAAAAAAAAAAAAAACAGCGCACCGCCGGCTTAAAAAGAGCACGGGCCTGCAGATTTGCGCGGCGTAATGCGCGCTGACCCAATAATTCGTCCTTAGGTCACGCCGTCCACTCTGCACTGCAGCTTCTCGCAGGCTAAAAAAGGAGAAAAAAGTGCATTAAGGATGCCAGACGAGTTGCCGGAAACAGATGGGGATATTATAGAAGCCTTCATCCAAATGTCCGCCTTCACAAATACAAAATACAGGTTATGATTTCAATTTCTGGACGATCCGGTAGAACGGCTTTTAACAGCGATATGAGCGATCCTTCCTCCCGCTGGAGCTAACGATGCTCATCGTTCTTGTTTGGGAACTTGCAAAAAAAAACAAAAACACCTTCGCATGAAACGGTTCCTTGTCCCTCTGTGACTTTGGCGACATTTCCAAGGCAGGCGTCAAGGGCTGCCATCACCTGATCCTTCATGGGAACTGGGCGGCAGGCGCTCTTTCATGTCCTCCATCTTGTCCAGGCTAATTAGGCTCTAATGACGCGACCGAAGACGCGCCCGTGAATCGAAGGCCGCGGATTACGGGAAAGCCTTTTCCCATATTTAACCCGCTTTTGACTGGGTGGGAGGATGTGCTCCTGGAGAGGGCGACCTCCGATTCATGTGGGTAATGAAGGCCTGTGTCGCCGTAAATCCTATTAGTCGCTCGGCTTAAAACCTGAGTTGATATTGGAGACGCCGTCTTGGCAAAAGAGAGGGACCGGCCGGGTCTTTGGATTTCGCACCATTGAGTTGGAGAAAAAAAACAATGGAAGCTGGGTTGTCCATTATTTTGGCTTTGCATTTGATCAGTCGGGACGCTAGGCTGCGCCGTGGTAGCATAACGTTAGCTTTTGAGCTAACTACAACAAACTATCCTGTTATTTTACAGCTGCTACATCTACATTGCTTACATTGGAGCTGACAATGTTGTGTGCCTTTAGAAGTAACTCCAGTCTAATTATCTTTACAGGGTTTGATTAGGGGTTTGGAAATGTAAGCTAGCATAGCCATGATCTGATAGTAGAATGGCCACAAGAGGGTACCAGTCACAGATATCGCAAGGAATTGATACCATGAAATAAGTCGAATATCGGCCTGTTACGATACCTGGTATCAGTACTTGTACACATATTTAACAAAGTGTACTATATGATACAGTTACATATTTTCAATATACATTAAATGACATAATACATATTTTGAGCTAACAATAGCTTACTGTCGTTTGACACAAAGGTGTGCCTGTTGGGATTCAATCAACTCTGCTCATGACTTCCCGCCTTTTTTCAGGTCTCATAGCTTCATCTTGGCTGCTGTGGGGTTTTGAAAACATACGTTAAGTGTGGCCATGATGCTGCGCCTGGGAAATACAAATAACTTTGCTCGCCGAGATAAGGAATCATTATTCAGGGGGTCGAGTCCATCCCTCGATACATGTACAAATTGATTCAAAGGCGTGTCCAAAGACTTTTGTCTCGCCCCTCCAGCATAAAGGCCTGGACACAGCACGCCGCATTTCCATACGTGCGTTCCACTAAAGTAAACACGATGGCAGCAGGAATGCGACAAGCAAACACGGCTCTTAAGAAAAAAAAAAAAAAACTTCCAAAGGGTGACCTGCAGCCGCTCGTCTTTCCACTTGCATGTCTGCACACGCACCAATGAGACATTCTCTTTCCTGGGAGAACACGGACGAAGGGTGGGTGTGAGGGCGGGGGTGGGGGGCTTTTCAAAATGAAACACAGGGCGTGGTAACGTGACAAAGTGAGGATTAAAAGGAGGAAATTACAAGGCCGATGCTCAGACGGCAAGGAGGAAGGACAAATAAAACGATGACATAAGCGTCGTGTCAGAAAGCCATCCTCTACCGTTTTGTTTTGTCACCACTAACTTAGCCGAGGTTCATTGACTTATCTTTCTTTGCATAAATTGACCAGCAGCATATTATACTGTTTTGTTGAAGTTCCATTTCTCTGTACGTGGCCCTCAGTGGGGGAAAAAAAAAAAAAATGGCCTTGCCTATCCCACAAAGCGCATCATCGTCGTCTTGTCTTAATTTGCCGTTATTGAAACACTATTAATAACACACGTTGGAAGTGACGTAGCGGGTGTGGAATTGTCTCTGACAGCGCGCGGGAGGGAGCCGGCGTTCCACCAACACGTCGTCGCTCGCGGCAACACCTGCCAACACACTGATAAAACAGCCCTGATCCTGTTCCCGGCAACACAAGGCAGCCTCTATTAGCGGCACGCCGAGAAAGTATTCCGATAGCGCCTTAACCTTGACTTGGAAGCACTAAAACCTACCATTGAGATTAATAGGTGCCAAGATGCGCCGTGAGAGACCATAATTCAATCCAGAGGCGTGATAGATTTATACGGGCAATGAATAACATGAAATACTGCAGTTTTTTTTTTTTTGGTTTTTTTTTTTATAATGCTCCAACTGCGCCATCCCATGTAGAAGTGCATTCGTCATAACGTCTTCGCATCCGACGCGATCAGGTGGAAGATTTATAGCCGCGGATGTTTTGGTGACAAAACTCAAGCCTCGAGATGGTTAGAAGTTTCGGGACATCTGGCTGGAAGTGGATTGAAAAAGAAAATGGTGAGTTGAAAACGGAGGTAATTCGTTCAGGCTGGCCTAGACGGGCTGCCGAGCCGCAGTATCCGCACCGAGCAGTCAAAACTGCATTTGTATATTTGTGTCATTAAAATCTGGGATGTGAATAATGTTATGTTGTGTTGCTGGTCTTGAATTCACCACAGATGCACAATGGAGGGCATTCATTCCGGCCTGCCTAGATGGGCTGTTGTAAAAAATGAATCGGGAAAGGAGTTTGTTGCAACGTCTGCACTTGTGTGACACGCTAGACAAAAAATATGACAACACATCATCGCTACACCAACAGGAAATGGAGAATCACAGAAACCTGCCGAGACGGGTTGCTGTGGGATATGAAATGGAAACTATGAGAAGGGCAGGAAGTGAAATGTGGAATTTGTGCTTTTAAACATTGATCTTACTAGCATAGTCTAACATTTATGTATGCATTTTAATGGTCACAATATGTTGAATGGATGGTGCATTGTATGTCTGCAGACATCACAAAGGGAAACTGGAGATGATTCAAGCAGGCCCGCCTAGACAGGCGGCTGTGGAAAATCAAAATGGAAAGCGTTGGCTCAACTGGTTGTGATGAATGCTTGAAGTGACTATAAAAGCGAAAATGGAGTCGCAATTTTCAAGTGAAGAAGAGTGTATCTTTTGTACATTTTGTCCATGAACCTTTGGGGCAGTTACTGTATGTTGTCTCCAATATCTTAAATACATCTGTGAGGCATTAGGGATGACATTCATTCCGGCCTGCCTAGACGGGCTGTTGTGGTCAAGAAAACGGTAAGGGTGTTTGTTGCAACTTCTTTACGACATTACAGACAAAGAGACACACTACATAAACAGGAATGTAAGGTGTACAAGTAGTTGTGTTGATTGACTTGAAAGGGCTGTTAGTTGGGTGTGGTAATCTCCTGGCCTGAGGCTGCGGATGATGTCATCGTTCTGCAGGCTGGGACTTGAGAGTGCAGTTTGTCTATTTTTTTTTTTTCGCCGCCACGCAAACTTCACCGCGTTTGATTTGTCCAAAGAAAAGCTCAAGGCAGCAGGAGCGTTTCCGTTCGTGTTTGTGACGTCGACGTGCTCATCGGGCATGGCCGAACACGTTTCTTCCTTCTTGTAATCGTGGAAGTGCCTCGTCGTCCGGATGACGGCCGACTGCTTGTCTGCTCTCTGGCTGTTTGCTTTCATTGCCTCCAAGCTGATTATGATCTTTGACTGAACGCCGCCATGTTTGCTGCTTGTCGAATGAGACCGCATGGAATTCCGAACAATTCCAGGTTCATGCATGGGTTTTTATTTTGGTTGTTGTTTTTTTTTCCCCCAACTCACGATGCACTTTTGTATGGAGCCCCAGACATGACATGTTGGGGTGGGGACATGGGATTCCATTGTGGCCACTGTATCGATGCAATTGTCATGGTTGGCATTTTGCAGCTTCACTGCACTAGTATCGCTGACCATCGCTAGTTTGAAAAATTGAAACGATCGACAAAGTCAGTGTTTCACTTTTAATCGCTGTGAAAATGACTGTGAAGGCCTCCGCTGACACGAACACTTTCGCCACTTGACAGCGAATTGAAAATTCTCATTGGCCGACTTCCACGTGGCTCAACAGGCAAGGCCTGGCTTTTGAAAGGCGCGCACGCTTTCGGCGTCACAGATACTCACAGTGTCAAACGCGAAGATGGCAAAGCCAAGTGGACAGAACTAATAACCGCATCTCACATATATGCTCACATATATGTGCATGAAGCGTAAAAACGGATAGAAATCATAAAATGAATAATTGGTCAACACTTTGTGAATTTCGTCTTTTGCGGGCGTGGTCTGCAACGAAACCCCCCGCGATAAATGATTACTTTCTTGTGGCTACAAAGTTTTTTGTTTTGTTTTTTTCACGTCATGTCTTGGGCTCTGTACTTTTGTTTGTCTAGTCCGAATTTGCATGCCGCCTCACTTGGGTTGGGAGCTTCAGGGGTCTGCCTCGGGGTTTGTTGGGGGGGGTTGGCGGGGTCCTCCCTTTCCCTTTTGCTTTCCCGTCCTCGTCTTTCCCGTCCTTCCATCCGCACAGTTGCACCTCCTCCCACCAGAGCACTGACACACTCCCTTCCATCTGTCTTTTCCTACCCAGAATTCCCTAACAACCCACCCGGGGGCGATGAGATCCCGCCGGAGCAGCACAGTGCAGGTGTGGCCATCGGGGTGGCGGTAGGGGGCGTGGCCCTGTTGGGGGCCGCCGCCATACTGCTCTTCGTGTTCCTGCGCCGCCGCCAGCGCACCTTCAAGGGCGACTACAGCACCAAGAAGCACGTGTTCGGCAACGGCTACAGCAAGGCGGGCGGCGGCGGGGGTCTCCCCGTGCACCCCGCCATGCCCAAGAACCTGCAGTACCCGGACGACTCGGACGACGAGAAGAAACCGGCGCAGACCGGGGGCGAGCGCGACTTTGACGGAGAAGCCGAGGACCTGAAGAGGCCCTACTTCACGGTGGACGAGGGCGAGAGCCGCGACTACGACGAGCGGACTCTTGCCTTCCAATACGACCCGGAGCCCGAGATAGCCGACGACATGATCTCCCAAACCGACGGCTCGGTCATCTCCAAGAAGGAGTGGTACGTGTAGCGGGCGCCACCCCGACCCGCCCAAGGAAGTCAAACAGCCCTGCGGCGGTGCACCCCCAACCCCTTCGCCTCCATCACCAACCCACACTGGTCAAACTGCAACCCCCCTCGAAGCCCCCCCC